TGGGTCTTTTGACTGTTGGTCAGACAGAATCAGCACCTTGTGAGGCACATTTGTCATCACTATGGACATTTCATAGACTAAACAGTTGTATTATTAAGTACTCAGGAAAATAAAATTAAAAAATCAGCTCTTCTAGAATGTTTTCATATTGTTTTCTACAGTTGAACGGCATACAATGTTAGGTTTTCCAGCAACTTGGAAGATTTGACACTTTCTAAGGTAGCGCATTATGAATGTTTTACAGCAATATGTTAATATCAGCAGTAGTAGGTGTGATAGAAATAATAGCAGCAGTTAGTACATAAAATGCTAAATTTATGCATTTCTCACGTCTTTCACCGCACTAAAACATGCATCCTCGATGAAATTATAGGGCCATCACATCATCACTGCCATAAATCCGCACACATCTGCACACTGCAGTGTGTAATGGCATATAATGTGCAGTATTTGTTCATTTGAATCCTGCTTTTGACCTTTAATGCAAATCCTCTGCGCTCTCTCCTCCACACACTGAAATGCCTTGAAAATAATCTCAGCACTGATCTGGCCAATATGGAGTTTGTTCCTCGTATTGGATTCCGACTGATCGGAATGGTTCTGAATTTAACAAGAAAATAAGACATATTTTGTAAAATATATCATATATTTGTATTTCATCCTGTTCCTGTGTCCTTTACAGGTGATTTCCGGACTCTTTGTGACTTTTTAAGTGTGTCCTTGATGAGGAAAAACGGAGCGGTTTTGATCAGGGAACAACAGAGCACACAGCCTGAAGCAGCAGAAAATGTTGGCACGACAACGCAGCCGGCAGCAGGAAAAGAAAGAACACAAATCACTATGTCAACAATCTCGTAGTGGTGGTTGTCAAAAAAAAAAAAACAGTGCTACGGTTAAAAAAAGAAGAAGAAAAAAAAAAGACAAGTGATGGGGCAAGGAGGGTAAACAGCCCCATCCTCCTCTGTAAGGCCTGTTTCCAGAATGTTCAACAACACATGAGCATTTATCTGTCAGTGTGTAATGTTCATGCTTTAATTCATATAATTCAACAAATTTAGCCCAACATTAAAAACCAATATGCTCCTATGAATCTGATTACATGGACAAAAACATCTCCATGGAAAAGAAAAGAAAGCTGAGATTGAATTCCTCCCCCCTGACGTCCGCTGTCAAAGTCAAGAGACGAGGCTAACACGCCATTGTGATGGATGACATGGACACGTGTTTATTTAACATTAGCATTTATTAAACACTGATGCGCTTCGAGTGTACCCTCGCTGCTGACAAACTGAATTAGCACGCAGCGAGTAAAGCTTGTGCTCTTTTTTTTTCAGCATTGTAGGAGCTGAATTGCGGGACGCTAAGCCACGCTATCAATTATCCTAATCAAACAAAGACTTAATGCACGGCAAATAATCTGTTTAAAGGCACTAAAGCGGCTGATAACTCTGCAACAAAGTAACTGTATCCTATTTGCCACACCAAGGGTACTCAAAGTCAGCTGAAAAGTGCCACTGCATCACAACTGGACATACAGCACAGCGTACACTGGTACATGAGAGAGAACTGTGTGTGTGAACAGGCAGGCTGACAATGAAATGCTAACACACTGGAAATAGGACATAAAGCAGCTGGCTGGCTCAGGCCCGCCCGAGTGGGAATAAAAATGTCCGAGAGCGGCGAAAAAGACAAAAAAAAAACATCAACTCAATACTTTTGTGAAATGTGTCCATAGCACCAAACTTAAAAATCCGTGTGAACGTTGGCGCTGAATGTGTGGTTAGATTTGTACTTCTGTCATCATCGTTATTGAAATCAATGATTTCAGCTACGTCTGATCAGATTCATACGCTTGTTAAAATATTCTTTAGTCCGACACTCCCTGACTTAAATATAAAATCATCCACAGCGGTGACAAAGAAAAACTGATGCACTTGTGCTGAACTTTAAGGCTTTTTTTGGTAGCGATGGAGATGTGACAAATGTCTGGTCAGATTAAGAATCTTGTTTCAAGGATTGATTTCCAACCTGGCAAACTGGCAACTGTCCTGGAGCCTGAGACCCCCAGGGGCCACAACAGCTTCTGTGGCACTGAGCATGCGGTCATTTGATGAACTGATAAATATAACCTGAAATGAAACATGGATTTAAGACAACTCCAGCATTATTAACTAATATCAGCACTGTGTCAAAGTCTTTCTATCATGCTCACATGGTGGGTATTTACTCAAATAAATACTGCTGCTTTGTTAATACACTGTGTTATGTAATGCATTTTTGTCATACCTAATTTCGCTTTTGTGGATGTGTTGGATTTTGTCATCCTGCAAGGGTGTACGTTTTGTTTCAACATTTCGGGGGGTCACACATATGAAAAGGAGAATTTTCCGCCAGAAAATTTTAAGCATCAAACAATTATTTTCCTGCCTTATGTTTAATTTTTACGCATCAGTTTGTGTCATTTCTGCATTCATTTATGGTTTATATGTCTGAAATTTTGTCAAAACAAAAGTCTGCTACTTTAATGTTTTCATATGTGGGGACAAATGAACGTTCTAAATATAGAGAATCTACACCTATGTCGTCCTGTTTGTGCTGGACGCTGCTATTTGACCCTGTCTTGACGAGGGTTTCATTTCACTCTGACTACCTAGTTAAATAAAGGTTATTTATGGTGAGTATTATTCTTGAATAACTCTATATTCAATCCAATTGTAACCAAACTAAGGAGCAGAATATGACTTAATACGGGCCCACAGGGCAAGTGATCGTATGGCTGCTTGTGTATGCGCAACATCTTAACACTGGAAACCTTTGCTTCTTTTGTCAATAGAGAATAAAGTGAATTTTCTACAGCTTTTTCCACACAAAATCAGGGTGTCTACATGTATCAGACACTTTAATTTGGTGCTTTTTAAGACCTTTTCAAGAGAATTTAAACACATTTAAGGCTGATTTTCAGACAAGTCAGATTATTCTTATTCAAGCACTGCAAGTCAGCGCAAGAGGTAGGATTTATGTTAGAAAACTATTATGAGATTGAGTTGGGTTAATCTACGTTTTCCCAACAGGTAAGTGCAAATATAAAGTAAAAAGATGAGTATGAAGTTCAGGGTTAGGTTTAAAGATTTGTACCATCAGAAATGTGAACTTTCATGCTGAAGAGCTTGACTCATTTTGACAAAAAGAAATGAAAAAATAGATAAATGAAATTAGATAAAAAATGTTTGTGGCTATGAAGACCTCAGACATTCACATATTTAAGACTACTGGATGGCTTTTAAGGTCTCACATTTACAAAAACTGAATTCAAGACTTTTTATGGACCCACAGACGCCCTGACAGTGCTGAAATAGGACAACTGCATCCACACACAGCAGCCGGCTGAGGTGCCACAGTGCTGAAAAAGCCTTAACAGATGTTGGAACCTCGAAACTAGTGCTGACCAAAATGCAGCCATTACACAGAGAATCAAAATGTTGGTGTAAGACATCTGCTCGGAGTCATGGTTCTGTTTAGTTTTATCAGATTGATTGTCTTTAGGCAAAGCTCTTGTACAGCTGCTTATGTCTGGACAACATCTAACATTCGACTACTTTGGCTTCTTTTGTTAAATGATAAAAAGGATTTATATTCCTGAGAGTAATGCATCAAAAAGCGTCCCTTCGGTATAGATACAGAAACTCAGGTACACATTTCAAATGCTACTCAGCCCTACTTTTATAACACAGTGTGACTATTCATGACAGAATATGAACTCTGGCTGGCAGCGTTCACACGAAATGCTAATGCACTCAAAATAGGACAACTCCATCCACACAAAGCAGCTGGCTGCCTCAGTCCTGATTAGGAGTGAAAATCTTGCACGCTGGTGAAAAAGCAAAACCTGAAGCAGTTGTGAAGGTCTAACTCAGGGCTTTTTAGAGCTCAGACAGGGTTCAGCTCCGTGTCTTTCTGTTTACTGGGGTCTGTCTGACCCATCCAGGCCTACTGGAGTGACAGTGGAAGTGGCAGGCAAGCTCCATTTGGCACGGCGAGGAGGGCCCCCGCTGCGGCCGACCAGACACGATGACAGGCTCCGTCCACAGAGAGCCCGCACCGAAGAAAGCTCGCCACTGAATGAAGACATAAAACCGGCATTCACAACTCAGTGGGGCCCTATTGTATGAGCACAGATAGGAAGGGAAGATTAAAAACGAAGAGAGGTGGTCAGGGAAGAAAAAAGAAGTGCAGTCAGAGAGTAGCTGCATGAATGAACGCGTTAATTAATTTAATGAACGGATGAATCGTCTGTTTTGTTTGCCGCGGCCGCAACCTATTTGGTCCGCTTCCCAGCACTCCAGAGCAAGCGCGGCCTCATTAAAAAGCCTGTCACGTCTCGTCGAGTGGTCTCCAGCACCAAGTGACCGAGCTCACAGGGAGCTGGCTCCTCATTAACACTGCCACATATTTACAAACAACAGTGCCGGGGCTCGCTTCCTGCCCGACAACATTAAATCATCACGTGTCAGGAAAGACATATTAAGAGACGTGCTCCCATTGAGGGCGAGCACTTGGAGGCAGCTCACAGGGACAGGATCTGATTCTGTTTTGAGCTATCCTAAGCTTTTTCTTTTTCTTTTTCTTTTTTTTTTTTAGGTATAACAGGAAATCACAAACCACAGTGTCACCAGAGAGAATGTCTCAGAGTACAACACCATCAGCATTAAAGCTGATTGCCGGACACAGTGCTGACTCTGGCCGTGTGCGATGCTAGCTCTAATTAAAATGAGCTTTCATTTTTTCACCCAACACAACTGAGCAAGAAGATTTCCAGCACTGGAGAGACAGGCAGCAATCTGCTGCTGGACCCACATGGCATAGTAACCACATGCTAATCAGCAAAGCCTACTCCAGTTCTATAGGAGCCAGAGAGCCATCGATTGGCCCTTTGAACATGCAGCTTCAATCAAGTCAACCCGTAGCGAAGAAAAGAGGCAGGTCACTGTAGCAGTTCTTACCGGAGGAATGGCCTCGGTTGGTGGCGTCGTGGTCGCTGTCTCCCTGCTCGCTGTCGCCGTGGCCGCTGTCTTTAGAGCTGACCATGTCCGCCTCCTGGAATGCCGAACTAAAACCAAAGAGGACATGAAATCAACTTCTGATGTTTTCAGCTGACAGCGGTTTTTCCATCTCATCATCATCTAGAGCATCATCACAGTAATGAGAGATATTAATGAATGAAGTCATATAAGAGGTTTATGTGAGCAGCAGAGAGGCTGCGGCGAGAGTCTCGGTCCATATTTACCTGTTGACACGTCTCGGCCTGTCAACCAGGTAGCTGAGCTCAGCTCGCTGGTGTTTGGTCTGAAAGAAAAGGGGGGCAATTTTGAGTGTTTTGCTCGAGCAACTTGTGTAACATGATTAGCACAGAAAAAACACCACTTTCTAACCAGAAATGATGCAAACCCACACAGTTGATGTCAGTTATGAAATGAACCTGAGCTGTGATCAACACACATCACTCATATCTGGCGAGGAGTGTGTGTTTGAGGTGTGCTTTCTCTTCACACACACACTCACAGATGCACCCACAGCAACCAGCAGCCTCTGAGCCACCATACACACTTCTGTTATTCTGATTTTTTAGATTTTCAAAGACTTGACATAAACATGCAGTCATTGCTGTTTCAGGGCCGACCTCCCTGAGGACTGCTGAAGGCAACATGTCAGCAACCGCTACTCTAATCATTGTGCTTGCTTTGATGCCTTTTCCTGAAATAAGTCAGAGGATGTTGCGGCATACTGTGTGTATTAGCACTCAATAACAGCCATTTGTAGACCTGGCATGCCACTGAACTGAGGAGGGGAAAATTAGGAGATGGAAATGGCTCCTGTATGAAACATTTTGTGTGTCATATATTCAGATAGTATCAAACAGGCAGGCTTCATGTGTCTAAAGGGGGGTCCAGGAATCAGGTTTTAGACATGCTGAAGGTCTTTGAATAAAAGGGGGGGTTATGCTGTAGGTATGAGAGGGACTCTTACCTCGTTTGATAAAATGCTGCCGTTTGATATGATGTCAGGCTGCTGGTCTGTGTACCCTGTCACTATGGCCCCGCACGGGTTGTGATCGGTGTCTGTGCTCCTAGACGGACTACACGGCTTTAGGAACATGAGGTCGGTTTTGGCAGACTCTGGAGTCAGACATACCTGGTAGCAATAGTTCTGGTTTTGATGGTGAGAGCCGAAGCTCCCTGACTCCTCCACGGGGACTTGAGCTGTACCGGCCCCACTGACGTTGCCAGCGCTTTGCACCAGCATGATATCCGACTTGCTGAGCTTTTTCTTACGGGCACGGCCCTGCCGTGAGCAGCAGGAACTGCAGCCCAGGCAGCACTCGCTGGTCAGGCAGGTGTAAATGTTAAGCTTTTTGTCCTTCTGGCAGCGCACGGCCAGCACGATCATGACCAGGAGGAAGATGAATGAGACAGAACCCAGGGCGATGATGAGGATGAGGGTGAGGTCCAGGGTGCCGTCTTTGGCTTTGGCTGTGCCTCCCCGCTCCCCACCGCCACGGCCTTCAGCCACGCTGTCCACCAGCATCACCAGCACGCTGGCACTGGAGGACAGCGGCGGCTGGCCGTGGTCTCTCACCTCAATCAGCAGGTCATACAGCTGGTGGGGGTCTCGCTTGGCCGACACCCGCCTCGCCGTCCGAAGTTCGCCCGTCCTCCAGTCCATCCTAAACATGCCGTTCTCGTTCCCCCTCTGGATACTGTAGGACAGCCGGGCGTTCTCACCATCATCAGCATCCATAGCAACGATGCGGGTCACCAGGTAGCCCGGCTCAGCTGATCGGGGCAGGGGCTCCTTGGCTGTGCCGTTCTTCCCCAAGGGAGCCAGCACCAGGGGGGCATTATCATTCTGATCCACAATTATGACTTTGACTGTGGCGTTGGAGGAGAGCTCCGGGGTGCCCGCGTCTTTGGCCTGGACCATGAATGTGAAATCCTTCAGCTGCTCATAATCAAAGGACCTGAGTGCATACAGATAGCCTGTCTCCTCATTGATGGACACATAGGTTTTGACTGACATGCCCTGAATGTCACACTCTAATATGGAGTAACTGATGAGCGCGTTCTGCCCGATGTCCGGGTCCAGAGCCGTCACAGCGTGTATGTACGCCCCTGGCACGTTATTCTCTGTCACATACACATCATATATGGGCTGCGTGAATGTGGGCGCGTTGTCGTTCTCATCTGACACCTGGACTCGGATTGACTTACTGGCAGCCAACGAGGGCGTCCCTTTATCCCGCGCGACCACAGTGACGGAGTAGGAGTCCGCCTGCTCCCGGTTCAACGGCCCGTCGGTCACTATGGTGAAATAATTCCTAAAGGACGATTTTAATTTGAAGGGGACATCTCCGAGGATTTCCACGTGTATCTGTCCGTTCTCCTCTGCGTCCCGGTCCGTCACACTCAGCAGCGCGATAACGGTGCCGGGAGCCGCCTTTTCGCTCACTGACTCGGTGACGGTGCTGAAGGTGATCTCCGGTGCGTTGTCGTTCACGTCGGTGACTTTGACCAGCACTTTGCAGTGCGCAGGCACGGCGTTTGGCCCCAGATCCTTGGCCTGAACGAAGATTTGATACAGGCTGCTCTCCTCGAAATCCACCTCTCCGCGCACCTCGATGCGCCCGGTGCGCGGGTCTATGCTGAACAGGTCCTTTACGCGGTTGGATATGTGGTTACTGAAGGAATAAACTATCTCCCCGTTTAGTCCCTCATCCATGTCGGTGGCGTTTAGTTGTATGACCAGCGTGCCCACCGGTGCGTTCTCTGAGAGGCTCACCGTGTACACGGGCTGGTCAAACACCGGCACGTTGTCATTAGAGTCCAGCACTTTGACCACCAGCAGCGCGGTGCCAGTCCGGGGAGGCTGACCGCCGTCCACCGCGGTCAGCACGTACCTGTGCGCCGCCTGCTGCTCCCGGTCCAGCGGCTTTTCCAGGACCAACTCCGCGAACTTGTTTCCGTCCGATTGGGTCTGCACATCCAGGTAAAAGTAGTTGTTAGTGGTGATATCGTACGTGCGTAAAGCGTTAGAGCCCACGTCAGGGTCGAACGCGCTCTCCAGAGGGAAACGGGTGCCCGGAGTGGCGCTTTCTGAGATCTCCACTGTGATGTCTGTCTCCGGAAAGCTGGGTGGGTTGTCGTTAATGTCCACCACTTCGATTTCGACCCGAAACAGCTCCAGTGGGTTCTCCAAGAACACCTCCATGTTGAGCTGGCAGCTGGCGCTCTGCTTGCAGATATGCTCCCGGTCGATTTTTTCGTTAACGAATAGGACGCCGTTCTCCAGGTTCACCTCAAGGTACGGTGTCCGAGAGCTGGGCACCACCTGGAAGCGGCGGGAGGCCAGTTTGGTAAGGTCCAGTCCCAGGTCCTCGGCGATATTCCCCACCAAGGTGCCATGGTCCGCCTCCTCCGGCACAGAGTAGCGTATCTGAGAGAGCACTCCATCCGTCATGCACAGGACAATCAAAAGCACAATCATCGCCGGAAAAACAAGTGCACTTGGGTAGAAAATATTATAAACCTTATTATCCTCTGTTAATGGACAAAATGTCCATTTCCATCACCCATATCAGTCGAGAGACAAAAGTCTCCAAAATGCGTAAAAGTCTCCAAAAATGCGTGAGGCGTCCGGGAAAATCTGCCCCATTAAAAGAGAGGCATTTCGATATTTTTAAAGGACTTTTTCTGACTGCAGAAGCTCTTTTCTATTCTATCTCCGTTGTCTTGTGTTTCAGACGTGTCCCGGAGAACCTACAGCGCACATTCCAATGAAGCGCAGTGATGCTGGTGTGATGAAACCAGCCTGGAAAGGAGTTGGGGAAAACAGAAATCAGTATCCATATATAAAAAGAAAAAAGAGATTCGTTTTCTCTTCTGTGATGCTCCCTAATCAGAAAATAAATGTCAGACTTGTCCTCCTGTTTTCTGGCTCTGTGTCTCCTCTTGGCACCCTGCTCTCTCACTGCGGTCCCCTCCACTCCACTCTCTACTGACGCTGTTCACTCAACTATTTGCTTTTTTTCCCCGCATCGCGCCTCCCCCTCTCAGCCCCCGCGGCTGTAAGTCACGCTGAGAGCTCTCTCCTGATTGGATAGCGGGCTTGCCTGTCAACGTCTGCCCGGCCCACGTCTCCCTCACTGCTTCTCTATGTCGCTCTACCTCCCTCTGGGTTTCAACTGGCTTTAGAATACCTGATGCAAAAGAAAAAAGGGGACAGAGAGCGACATTTATGACTTCAACCCATAAGCTGCCAAACCCTAAATCACACTCTCTACCTGTCCGTCATGTAAAGCGCATCATCCACAGAGCCATCGAGTGACGAGAGTGAGTGGAGGACTTGTTGACTTGGTGGCAGGGCCTGTGTGAGCCTCAGGACAGGCTGGGCGAACCGGGTTAATGCATGCAAATGTTGTGATATGTATGCAGGGAATCATTCGCCATTCATGCGCTGTTCTTAAGGCTGTGCGCTATAATTACACCCAGTAGTTGTAACGTTATTAACTCTCCTCCAGCCACACAGCAGCGGGACAGAGAGGCAGGCAGAGCGGCACATACGCGGACCTCATACGACCCCTAGCGGTGTAAACATAAACCAGAATCTGATTCATATCAGGGATCATATATATATATATATATATATATATATATATAGTAGGTAAAGTGTTACTGTGTGTGGGGACAAGTCAGTGATGGAGAGACTAGAGAGAGTTAGAGGGAAGGAAGATCGCTGGATGTTTTTTTAAACAAACTCTGGCTTGTAAATCTGCCTTATTCCTCTGTGCCATACAGCTCCTCTTCAGATCTCATGTTTTTTCCACTCATCTCACTCATCCCTTCCTCCACCTATAAACAGTGCTCAATGTTTATGTCAACTAGTGTCTCTATTGCATTTTTACATCTGACTGAGAAAGTATAAAATGGATTTTACCATCTCTGCTTGTTTTAACCATGTGCACACATGTGGTTAAAACAAGCAGAGAGAGCATCTATATACATGGGTCGAGCCACAAAGGATTAGTCACATATAGTCAGAGAGCTCTGGGAAATAAATGCAACACTGATGGTGGTGTTATAAGTGGCAGAGAATTTTAAATAATAGACTTATCGAGAATAAAGGAGCACCAAGCTTGAAAAAAGAAATATGCATATATCTGTATGCAGGGGCATCATAGTGGGGGTGATTACCCAGGGGGCCAATGGGAGGGGGGCCAACAAAAAGCCTGAAATGAAAAGTTTGGTTTTGTTAGCAATGTTTAATTTCGAAGTAATTAGCTCGATAACTAAACTAAAATTGGCTGAATGAATTGAAATGGTTGAAAGACTGAGTTTTGTCTAAAAATAACGGAAGCTCTTTGAGGCCCCTCTCACCCCTTAAAGGTGCAAAATGGTTTAGTCCACCCCTACACTCACATTTGTCTTTAAATGCAGCGAGAGCAGAGCGCCTGCTTATACCACTGGAGCACCAACACAGACTGCCGTGTTATTCCCGGAGAAAAGGAAATCAAGGTTCCAAGAAAGATAAGAAAGAAAGGAAACTATTTAAAAAAAGGAAAGAAAAATCAAAAGGTGCATGAGAGACATGGATCAAGAAAGGAAGGGCAGGGGGGCCACAGAGTCTGCTTATGCATAGGCCCCAGAATTTGGTGCTGCACCCCTGCCCTGTTCATATGAGTATCATACATGTAGATTAGGTGAGAGGGGGCACATATGTCCCCCCACTATAAACATGAACGTTTCAGATGACTTTAATTTTGACTGAAAGACATTTACACTATAACCTGATGCAGAAAATGCACAAATGAGTGCATACAAATTCATCAGAATGCAGGAAATTAAGTGTTTGATTGCGGATAACCCCCCCCCCTTGCCCCCTGTGTCATATGTGCCCCTCCCCCCACCACTGTTGAAATGAAACATACCCTCTTGATGACAAGTTTGGAACTCTCTTTTGCAAAGAAAACTGGGCCAAAACTGCAGCATAATAAGTTGCAGAGAAAAAGACAAAAACAAAATGAGACGATAGATAAAACAATAATAAAAACAGACAGTAACACTTAAAGTAGGCTGGGAACAGACACTGTTACAAAAAGAATAATATAACAATGGGTTTATAGTCTTGATTTCAGCCAGAGTCAGATTCAGCCATTTAAATTCAGTTTGCAAACTATTCCAAGTGGCTGGAGCAGTAAACACTACAGCTATCTTTCCCATCTCTGTCCCTACATTAGATTATTAGCACTGCACAAAGGAAGTCATTGCACAGTCATTTTTACCATTAACTGATTATTCATAATTAGTTTATTAAAAATGGAGAAATGGGCACTATTTGTGTAAGCTATCCCAGAGCTATATACCTAAAATTAATTCTTAATTTTGACACTCCTTATTCGTTAGTGTTTGCAGTTGTTGCCCTTTGCTTCTGTTTTATTCCTTTCTAGTCTTTTGAGAGTCTAATGTTTTACAGATTTTGTTAAAGTTGCCTTCACCAAATGAACTGGATGGCAGTTTATAAATGTTTTCCATTCACCAGTTCATCTAAATGTTGTTGGATCGTTTCTCCAGCATCCGTGTTGAACTGTGATGCTGGTCCATAAACCTGATTGGTAGACCCAAACCTTGTAAATAAATATATCAGCAGTCAGGCAGATTGCCTGCAGAAGATTTTTTCCATTTATTTTATTTTTCTTTATTGTTAATTGTCTCTGGTCTCCATAAATCATCTCCTCCTCTCGTCCCATTTCTGTGAACTGACACCTGACCTTGGTCATAACAGGAGATCTGTGCCCTCAGTGCATCAGTGGGTGTGCGAGTTCAGCTGAGTGAAGGAGAGCAGCAGACCAAGTGCTCCCCCTAGTGAACGACTACAGCACTACAGCATACACACTGCTGTGGCACCCTGTGCGGTGTGGTCTCCCCTCTCCGCCCTTATTCTGTCTGCTGTGCTGGAGTCCAGAATGCCCACAGATTCACATCCATGAGCTGCAGTGAGTAAAACACACACACACACACACACCACACACACACACACACACACACACACACACACACACACACACACACACACACACACACACGGTGGCATAAGTGCATGATTCATGCTGTCTGCAAACTGTCAGAGCTACACAGAACAGGCCACTGGAGGAGAAACATGAATTGGCTCCAAGAAGAGATTTTCTAAATCAAGTTCCATCAAGCCAGTGGTGCAGTCAGACATGCATCACTGTCTGCTCAGATAGCCAGAGCGGAGAAGGTGGGGATATATCAGGGCTTTCTGCATGTGCAAATGCACACAGTAATCCAGGGTGAGCACTGACACAGAAACCATATTCACAGTCATGACTGATTTAACTACACAAATATGATTATGGTCCTCTCATCACTCCCCACGCACTTCACCACTCTCACACATAGACACACTAAAACAGCAGCAAACCGTCCTCTTATCCTGATTTACATGGCCATAACATTTTATTCTCGAGTCACTTTAAGGGCTAAAAATACAGCATAACGACCAGTAATTGCTGCCTTTTGGTGGGTAAAAATAATGTCCGTCTCGCACATCAAAAGTTTCCCACACATTGTAGCGGGCAGATAGGGGAGAAAGAAAAAAAAACTGAAGCGTCTAAAAAGGGTGCCCTAAAGCTATCCCACCCATAAGATAATTAGAGCAGGAGAAACAGCATGTAATCATCAAGTGTTATAAAGCTACAGGGACCAGAGAGCATCGTCTAATCGGAAGCCGAGCAGTGTCTCTCCTCCTGTTAGCTTTAACAAGCACGCTATCAATTAACACACAAGTGGAGTCACTCCTGCGGTGTCACACTCAAGGTAAATTTAGACGTTAGGGAAGACAAACAACTTTTGGCCACATAAAGGACAACAAAGTCTGCAATGTTCTGTGGGAAATGTACAAACTGCAAATTGTCATTCCTCTGTGTGTCTTCCACACTGCACAGAGGTTTCTTTTTTTTTTTTTTTTTTTTTGTAAAAGTCTGACATTTAAACAGCTCCTGGTACCAAAGACCAAACAGTGTTTTGGATGTGACAGGACTCTGACTCTACACTGACAGTACCTGTAAATCAGAGCTGTGGACTCAAATCTTGAGAGTTGAACTGGAGTCAGAGTGCAGTAAATAAACTCAACATTTTCTTGACAATGCATGTACTTAAATCAGTCTCACAGCAGCCAATCACACTGCACACGCAGGAGGTAAAAGTGTGTTTGTCAGTGCAGACCAGCAGACTGACAACAGATAAACCTCTGATTATCACATTTGAGTGTAAAGACTGCTAAAAGAATTCAACGAAGACATTAGAAATTATAATTCTTGAGAATTCTTTATGGCAGAAAGTACAGAGGTGTTGAGGACATAAGACTAACGTTCTGGTGTGGAATTTTAATTGCATGATATGCTTTGTTAACATTATCACTGTTGGCATGCTAAGGTTGCCATTTAGCTCTAGCATGGCTGTAGAGTTGTTGATCCTCTCTATCACAAGGTTCTTTGAACAATCACATTTTCGCCATGCTCTTTTTTTTAACTACCAGTTATAACCATGATGCATTTGATCATTTTGCTTTTACATGTGATGAAGTATTTACAAATAGTAAATCCTAATTTCAAAAAGCATGATTTCTGTAAATTTCTATAGCACTGGCCCTCCTTTTAGCATTTCTTATTGCATGAAATTTGGTGGGGTCATACAATGAGGTGTTTAGTACCAGAAACACAAGGTTTAGAACTTGGACTCAATCTTGACTTGGAACTTGATTTGGGACTTGTTTTGGATTTTGGACTTGTTGTTCTTAACTTGGGACTTGTTGGACTTGATAGGTTGGCCAAGGACTTGATCTCGACTTGGATCTTGTTCTTTAATTCAGACCTGCTAGTCTTGATTTGAGACTTGTGCTTGATGTTGGAATTGCTCTTGACTTGAGACTTGTACTAGACTCGGGACCTGGACTTGATATC